GACGGGGGAGCAGGTGCGCCGAAAGATGCGGAAGCAGGTGTGCCGAAGGACGGTTTTTGTGCATCCGTCGTCTTTGCACCGAATCCTCCTGCTTGATTCGTCGTCTTTGCACCGAATCCTCCTGCTTGATTCGTCGTCATGGTTGTCCGTGCAGCAAGTGGGCCGCCGAATCCAGCGAATTTCAATTCTCGCGGTTGTTGGTTTCGACGACGTGCCGCATCCGTAGCACGGAAGTGTATGGCTTGTTCTACCCAATTCACAACATTATACTGTACCGCATGGTCAGTGTTCTGCAGCAACCAGCCAAGAAGACGCTGTGTGCGCGTCCATTCCTCTGTTGGGGCTATGCAGTCAGTTTTGTCCAAAATGTTCTGAGGTATCACAAGCCCAAAGCGCTGATTGCCATCCAGCAAACGCAAGCGCCCTATGGCCTGCATAAACGCATCTCGAGTCAAGTCTGGGCCTACAGTAACGAGGGCAAAGGCATCGTGTCGCAGTTGCATATCCACCCCACGCGTGTGCTCCTGATCGTACAATACCAAACACTGATGTACTGGGATAGTGCATGTGGCCATGTCTTGTGATTTGGTACTCTGGTCGGATGGCAAAGTACGCCAACCCTCTGGGGTGTGGTAAACGATACCCCTCCGATATTTGGACGGTGGCAGTTCTGCACGCAAACGTACCGCGATTTCTGCGGGTGTGTGACCTTGGAATAGAGCTCCGGCATCGATTATAGCATCAACCTGCCGATTCTTTGCTATGGAGATCAGGTCGCTTATGACCTCCGCGCCTTTTCCTACGGGGTACACGTCTTCGTCCTTGACTCTGTTGGTCAGAGTTAGCATTCGACCATTAGCTCCTTTGTGACCTTTGACATAGCCCATCTCTGTGGCGTGCGGTGACAACAAACCCAAGTCTCGAGTACCTGAGAATCCAACAATACGATGCGAACCTGACATCAAATGCCACGAATTGGTCGATATCGACAGAGGGTATGTTTGCAGCTCGGTTGGGAACAAGCACTGATTAAGCCAGAAATGGATTACTGTTCGTTTGTTCCCAACAACTGCGGCTAGTTGCTCGATATCGGCGTCGGTTATATCCTTTACACTGCGGGGACAGGACGAATCATTATCTAAGTCCGCAGTCCAATACTTATACTCGGCCTCGCGTTGATTTATGTTGAGCTGCAACAGCCGTCTGTATGCTTCGCCAACTTGATGCAAGGTCAGACCTTTGTGGTAGTACGACATGATGGTAAAACCAATTACAAGGTCTAACCGTGCAAACTCGCTCTTGTGCGACGGTGTATCGTTGGCACGGAAAGGGACGGCTAGACGTTTCTTCTTGTATGTCGTTTCCGTTTCATCGATCCCATAGTGCACTCGATAACGACGTTCCCATAGGTTCGCCAGCAAACCAAATGAGAACAACCCACGCAACATTAACAATTGAGTCGACTCCGAATCTTTGTATTCGTCCATATCCGGCTCTTCTGTCCCAACGATTACATCACGGTCTCTCGCTTCGTCAAGCCATGCCAAGTTTCCAGCTCTTGACGGCAAATTAAAAACTCGATGCAGAAGTTCCTTGCAAAAATCACACCATGGCACCACCGCTTCGCCAAGATCCTCCTGGTAGCTCCACGCGAGCTCCAAAACGATTTCAATCACACGAATCCTTAACAGGCTAGTTGGGGAATCGGCTCCATCGTAGCGCACCTCACCTACCGCATAGACAAGCTCACTCCCCGGGCGGAACACCTCGTCACACTCGTCCACAATGTCAACAAACAGGTTTGGATTCACAAAGGTCTGTGGCATTCTGGACCAGTTTGTATCTTCTACCTCTTCCACTGTTTTCAGCCGCGCCGAGTTGATATGAGCTGGGGCGCTCATAACCATGGCACCATGCACACGCAGCAGTGAAAGGTGGCGGTACAGCAAGTCCATATCTTTCTCACTGATACTACTTTGACGCGAAAACGGCATGCGTATGACAGGTTGTGCTAATGTACTGAGTGATAACGAGGTGATGAAGGCGGCATATGCCTCGTCTAGTAGTGGCTCTGGCACCAGCACACGGCACAACTTGTGGGGATGGTGTTCGATGCATGCGTACACCTTGCTGTTAATATGGAGCGCTAGCAGTGGCATCACCACACGCGTTTTGCCCGAGCCGATCCCCATTTGCAGCATCATAGGTTTAAGCTGCGTATCTGAGAGATTAGGCCCCATAGCCTTCACGAGTTCAGCCACAGCGGCCTGTTGATCATTACGTATCTGTAACCGCCCGTCGAGCTCGAATACCAGCCATTCAGGGTAAGTGCGGATATCGTACGAGCGCTTCGTTTCCAGCTCGACGATAAGTGAATTCAGCGTAATATTTGGTGCAAGCAGTCGAGAGCATCTGTCCAGCAGCACAACGAGTTCCGCCCAGGCAAACAGAGCGTCGCGCACTCGTTCTACGGAGACAAGTGATAGGTAGGGAGTGAAGCTGAGTATGTGTTTCTCGTCCAAAATTGCTCGGACATAGTCGATGCGAGAAAATTGAGGAATAAAGCCAACAATCTGACGAACCTTCCAGTTCAGTGGATCCTCCTTGGTTATCCGCCGCATTGCCGAGTCAATGTACGCGACCAGTTTGTCCCTAGCCACCCTACCCTCTCGCTGAATCTCCCATATAATAGGTCTCATTTCATCAACAACTGGTTTCACGGGGATGATATTTTGGTATTCCTCCCAGCTCTCTTTAGTGGACTGGATGAGATTTTCCATATGCTCAGTTACGGCCTTGAGCCCCTCAAGTGGGAATTTCAGTTTGCTGTCGGTTTCTTCAATAGAATCTGATCGACTATCTTGGCCTAGTACTGCCAACATACAGTTCAACTTCGCTTCGTGCTTGCCGGCGGATGTTGTGTAGGGCACTGGCTCAATATTTATCGTCTGGAACGATCGCACATCCGCCTTCAAACTACTGTCTATTGAATCAGACTGCAACAAAAGGCTTGCAGGAAGCTGTAGACGAGGCCCTAATCGCATACATGTCTCTACCTTTGAGTCAATTTCAGCCTGTGTACGTAAAGTGTGTTCTAAATCTTCACTCGCAGACTCATTTAGCGACCCCAAAATGGCCGCTTGGTGACGAACCAAGGCGCACATCTGGTAGATGGGCGATTGTACTGACGAACATAGAGATTCTATCATCCTTAATGACCTTTCCGTTGACGAGTTGGGCGATAACGTATCTACTGCCAACGCTCTGCGAAGACATTCGGTAGCACGCTCCTCACCTGTCATGACATTGCTATCAGTCAGAGGCAGCCCGTCGTGGTGACGTAGAGACTCCACGGCCAAATACAACAAGCCTTCCATTGTACGTGCCCTAAGTTCGCCTAAGGTAGGGTGAATTGTGTACTCATGATACGTTATATGTACCTCGGAGGATTCCATGAGAGAAGTGGTATGTGGGTCCAGTTCGCGCAACAAGAAGATATCTGGCAGTCTTACAGCTTCATTAGGGTCCGTTGCCACCAAGCGTAAATAATTTCGTGACTGGCCCCAGATATGGGGGCAGTGCTGTTCACGTGCCATCTCATACCCATCGTACTCCATACTACGCCATGCAATTTGACCCAGGGTTTGCTCGAAGCTGAGTCCAATAGCGCTCCAACGATATAACTTCCATGTGAGTTTGAACTGATCTATTGAAGGTACATACAGGCTGCTTAACTCAATATGTTCCTGATCTTCTACACGTGCGAGCACATCTGTCCACAGTTGGAGCTCGTCGCACACATGCAATAACCGTTTCTGTGTTGGAAGGATTTCAGATATAAATCCTTCCGCCGCCCAAGAATTTTCTTTGTTGACTCGGTTGTCTTCAACGTATACAATGTTGTATCTACCATTTGATTTTCCATCCGCCTCCGCAACTTCTAGTACCGTGCCTGTTGTATCCATAAAAACCACTCGATCGCGGTGCTTGTCATACCATGGTGTCCGCGTGTACATTTCGCGTGGCATCGTATTGATCACGCAAGAAGCATCTGATACGCCGGTAGTTAATGTGACTTCATTTTCATACTCCGCGCGCACGCCTGATAATTGACCTTTCTCGTCTGTGCGTATTGTGTAGTGTGGAAAAGGTACATCCGGTAAACTGGTATATACATCATCACTCTTTACCATTTCTGGAAATACAGTGTCACCGAATAACTGCTTCCAGCTGCTCTGCGCTATTAACGAACGTGGCAATGGCCCAGCGTGCTTCATGTCGATACGAATTTCGCCTGTAAGCACATCGAGCTCGTAGGATGGGTAGCGGCATACGAAGAGGCTACTGCCGGAATTCGACCAATCTCGGGTTGCATCACTGTTCCAAAAACTGTTCAGAACACGATCAACAATGCAGTTGTCCTTATCTAGGTTTGCTATCCAGGTCACACAAATTCGTTCCAAAGTTCTTTCTAAGATTGTTTTCAGCAATTCTGGAGCCTCATTGAGGAAAGCATGATCTGAAGGACGACAGCCATAAGCAGCGATTCGCGCCGCTAATAGATACTCAGAGGCCTTGCGACTATCATCAGGTTCTCTGGCACGCTCAAAGGAGTATGCAGCGACTACTGTACATACCGCATTAACCATGAAGCTGTCACGGGGGAGCTGAGAGCATTGCTTAGCACAATGATGCAGCACTGGGAGAGCCTCATCGAGCCCTAACTGCACGAGACGATTTAAAGCCTCGGCTGTGAGCCATAGTACTACAACATTGTGTGGGTTGTTGGCATTGTTGTCAATGATCGAACGGAAAATCTCCCAGATTGCACTGTCGCACTTCACTCCACTCGCCCAAATATAGTCACCCGTGTCTGGATCTAGTGGGCCAACGCGTCGCACCAAATCCATCACCACTGAAATGGCGTTCTCGATTCGAATCCGAGATGCAAAATCAGTACTCAGTTGCAAATCTTGGGTGCGTATAAACGCAACTAGCTCCATCCATGACTGGCGTGGAAACGCTAGAACACGACCAACGGCCTCACCATCCGCCTCGGAAAGTTGTTCTGTGTGCGCCACCCATTCATTAGAGCGCGTGCTATCATCGCTGGCAGATATACCGACCGTCGTCAAAGCCCATTTCGAATCCGATTTGATGTCAGGTACGAAAAGAGCACCGTCGACCCCATTGAGTTTGAATTCCCAAACATTATCATCGAATTTCCAAACTATATATATATCCTTATATTGCAGGTCCGCATAGTCCAGACCGTCCTTCGTCCAGTCATTAATATCCATATCCATAACTTTCACTGCAATTAATGACTTCCTTCTGCGATAACTCACCATCGTCTTGAACTGGCCTGGGAATTCATTTCCCGCAGAGATACGGGTTTTCGTATAGCAGGGCAAGTTGTAAAGAGACAATGCGAAGTTGTCCAGTTTTGGTGTCATTTTCTCTTTAAAGAATAAATGGTTGCGGGCTTGCGTTCTGCTGTGAGGTAGTTCCGTAAATTTAGGGTAGAAAGGGCGATCAGTTTCTGTCATTTTCTCCCGCTGATCATCACTTTCCTTTTTCAGTGATTTTACAGTTTCCTGTTTTTGACTTATACGGTTTTCTAACTCATTCACCTCTTTGGACAAGCGCCGAATCTCCACATAAAATTCAGACCCGTCGTCCGTATCCGCCAGCGTCTTCTGAGCCCATACGAATGCCTCCTTGCGAAAGTCGGCCTCCAGCACAGCTTTTTGGAGTTGTGTCTCTAATTCGACTATGTGCCCTTCCGCAATTTCTATGTTGGAATCGGACTTCTTCATAGTCTCATCATACAAATCCTTCAATTTGGTGGTATCAGATTTCGCGTCGTCGAGTGCACCAGCAATGTCTAGATCATCCCCAGTTACTGAAGCTGATTCAAGTTCCTGAAGTGCGGCTTCCAACTCTCCTTTTTTCGTATTCTCGCCAACCACTGCGTTCTGTAGACGTGAAAGGTTCCAGAGTTTCCCTTCAAACCCATAAAGGTTGGAGCTCGAGCCAAGTTGCAAAGTCAGTATACCGGTTTCTAATGCTTCTACCCGCTGCACCAGAGTTTTAAGCTGGCTTTGTACATCTTCCATTCGGAGTTTGCGCTCGTGTTTCTTACGTTTGGTCTGCTCTAACGACTCGGTGAAAATACTTTGATAACCCAACTTATTCTCGAAGGTTTTTGCCGAAGCCGACCGCTCCTTTTTCAAAACATCTAAATCTCGCTTTTTTTTATCGATGACTGCTTCCAGGTCCTCCGCGCGGTCCAGTGCCGCTGTTTTAGCTTTTCGTGCCGTATCTCGCGCCTCTTTCTTGCCCTGATGGTACTCTTTTTTATCATTCATTTGCCTTTCAACAGAGCTCAATACCTCCTTCAAACTTACGAGCTCTGAGTTCAATTCATCTATTTTCGCCTCGTGCATCATTTGCTCGATTACCAACCGGGCCAGCTCTTTCTCGGCACGACGATACCGTCTCTGAAGTGGTACAATCGTATTATTCCATAGTGCAGTACGCTGTTTGTCCTGCGACTGAAGTGCTTCAAGAAAGTCTGCGTCATCTTCACGCACGACCAAATTTGCTAACTGAATCCATCCTTGGGGGTGCTCTAGACCTAACGCGGGCACTTCAGGTCTTGCTAGGAAAGGCTTGATGTAATCACCGATCTGCCGATGCAACTCGAGTGCGCTATCACTTGACAAGCGATAATGTGATGACCAATTAGGCAAACCGAGCGAAAACTGCTCCGCTTCCGGATATTCTCGCACAATGAGAATGTGATTGAGACAAACGAATGCTGAGGCCACCAGGCGGCGATGACTAACTACACACTCCGAGTAATGGTGTGCATCTGACGAGATGGAAGTTCTCTGGACAAGATCCAGGAGCCATTTCGCCACACCAGCAAGGATCTCGAGATCTACATTAAAATTTGTATCGCTTGACGCTGTGCCCAAAAAGGTAGCTAGCCATGATTCAACGGCATACAGAACAAGATGGTCTGGAAATTCGGTCGTAGCTCGACTCAGTGCGACAACATCTTCGAGCGTGAATAGCGCAGGAATACTAACGATAGGTTCAGCATATATTCCCAATCCAATCGAGTCTACGTTTAGTGGTTCGCAACTTAATTTCTCGGTATTGATCTGATATGATGTATCTGGCAAACTCGATATCGACTGCGAAGGCAAGTGATCGGTAATTTTTGATTTTTCCTCGGCCTTTACGCAATTCTCGTCGTACAAGTGCTGACGGGCATCTTGCAAACGCTCTTCAATCAAATATAAGGCGCGAGTGTTCTCGTCCAGGGCATCTACGAGCGCGTAAAACGATTGAAACTCACGCACGGACAGTTCTTCGGAGTTAAACCACGCAGCAAGTCGGAGCTGAAACTTAACCAGTACTAAATCGTCAGATGCGTGGTTGAGTATGCGTTCGAATACGTACCCCACAAAAGATTCGACGAGCAGTTCTGAATCAACATCACAATTTACGTCGGAGTATTTGGTTTGCAGTTCTGTTAGGTCTCCTAGCTTATCTTCACTGAGCTGCTCAGTCAGATCTGAGAGAGTATATTCCCCTCTATACGGCTCAGTACAGAATAGCCGCGCAGTCTCGCCTGGGGCAGGTCGAGGTATCATCACAATGGTCAATGTGAAAAGCTGATCGCATAGATCCATAACATCTCGTCGCCGCGTACTCTCAGCGACTATAAAGGCACTCGGGAGGGCGTATATACGTAGTTCGTGCTCGTCATGTTGAGTAGCTTCAGTAACTACCCAGTTCGCAACAGTTTTCCAATGAGCCAAGCGATGTTGTACATCGGGATACGGATGGTTTGAGTGCCCTGGTACATAATTCGCACCGGGTCCTTGAAGCAGGCACGTACGTAAGTCCATTTTGATATGAAGAGATATACAGCTTCAAACCACAGTTGATATTTATTCAGAAACAGTTAATAGGTGACAATACCTGGTGTATTTATTTATATATATTCAGTATCTCACGATAAATATTAAATATTGTCTCAATATATATAGGAAGGAGAAAAGTTGTTCCTTTTTTTATTCAGAAGGCTTCGCTTTTTTGTTGGTTGTTTGGAATATATTTATTGTTTTATAAAAGAACAATAAAAAAAGCAAATCATACAGTGTATTTTTCTCAAAAAGAAAAACAAATGTTCTGTTTTGTAAAATCTAAATGACCTCAACCATTTTTTTATTTAAAAATTATCTGTTTTTTTTATAAAAAAAGCAACAAACAAGAAATATTGAAACAATAACAATAAAATAAAAACATTCTGGCATATTTTTGTGTGAATTTATGTAATTACAAAAAATATATTAAAATTGTAAATATAAAAATACTTAGTTTTGTTTTTAATATTTTATATATAAAAACAAAAAACAAACAAACAAAACAAAAAATAAAAAAGTTTGCATGACCGAGGTCGCGAAGTTCGAGCAACCAATACTTAAAATAGTATTTTAAATATTAAAAAAAACCTAAGATGGGCGACGAAGCGTTGATCTACCTTGCAGGGCTGGTATTTTTTAAAAGCTGTAAACGATAGTAGCGAACTCGCGACGTGTCGTCCAAAACATGTCGTATGACGCATAAATATAGATACGACATGTTGTCATACGTATAACATAGCGTCGGAAATTTTAAGAATTTTCATGTTCCCCCATTGGTAATCTATGAAAAGGTACATGGTGATTGGCGAAATTCTTAGATATTGATGATTTAGAGGGTCTACTCTCCAATGTCTAGTCTTGAGTCGGCCATAGGACATGTCGCGACCCCGAAGTAAAAAAGACATGTAAACGACCGTCGAGACACGTCGCCATAGGCAAAAGACTAAAAGAGTCAAAGACATGTCGTTTACCAGCTCAGTGACGATCTCAGCCCCCGATGGCGATCCAGCGGATCTACGCACTAAGTCTCCAACTCTTGAGTCTTCTCACTCAGCGTCTATCTACAGTTCTACACTACTCTAGATTTTCTACTCTACCTCTACTAGAGAGAGTAGTACATATACTCATATAGAGAGTCCTCTCGACCAGGAATCCAGGGGTCCAGGACCTCTATCAAAAAGATCTGCAAAAAAAGCATTGTTTGTATTTGTTTTTTAAACAAAACCAATTTTGTGTTTGTGTTTATTTTTATATGGTTGTTTATGTATTTTAATTTTCTGTTTTAAAATTAAAAAACATCAAAAAACGATAAAAAAACTTATCTTTAAATATTTTAAAAATACCTGCATAAATCTCTATATTTATTGTAACTAATTAAATATTGCTTTTGTTGAAAAAACAATTGGAATGCTGAGTGGCAAGTATTTTATATGTTTTTGAATTTTTCAGAAAAACAATGATAAAAGTAATTAATAGTATTTTATTTTTTTAAATATATATTTATAAAACAAATAGCGATTGTGAAGTCAGTCAATCGAAATGTATTTTTGAAAAAAATATAAAAAGAACAATTGCGTTAGATTTGATTGTCGATATTTATGTATGTTTTCCCGTAAATATGTTAATAGAAATATGCATGTGCTATGTTGACTCCGGTTGTGTATGAGTAGCGATTCTATATCACGTTTCCTACCTTTTTTTTTAGTCACATACTCATAGACCGTAGTCCGTACTACCAATTCCAGATTTATAGCTTTTTAAAAAAAGTATAAATCTGGATAAATTTGTTCGGTGTGAGTCAGAGAATGTCATAAAATCATACTTAGCTCAATTACAAATTAGTTTAGATAAATCTGTATAAGTTTATATGACTCTCTATTCTGATAAATTTCTATCTCTGTGAGGATGGAGTTTGTGGCTCTGTGCTCCGCAGAGTGTCGTAGAAATTTTATATTACTAATTAGGAAATAGAATGTAGTCTGACAGTCTCTGACCATTCTACTGAGTCTCTAGACTCACTCTCTCTACTCTCTAGAGTCTAGAGTTTCTAGAGAGTAGAGTGAGGTGAGTGTAGGGCTGTAGGCCTGTAGGGCCTGTACAGTGTACTCTGTAGATGTAGATATTATTGTTCTTACTCTTTCTAGCTAGAGTAGAGAGTTTGCCAATTCAGTTGTGACAGAAATGATTTTTTGTTGTGTTTTTTAATATTTATTGCAATAGAGGGTTTTAGATTTAGCATCCAGTACTCATTTTAAAAAGTTAATCTAAAGGAGTTAGGGGTCTGGAGCAGCAACTTGTTCCATATCGGGTGTTATGAGCGATTTGCCTGACCACAGAGTGACCACACCACTGCCTTAGTAGCGGTGCGATGTGACAAGGGATCCATAGAGTTGATAATTTCAATTAAAATAGGGTAAGTGTGCCACTTTATAGTAAACTTACGAAGGAGGCAGCGTTGTTGCGGAGCTTTTACAGCAAGTCCAATAGCAATAAATGGGTTTGGGAGATTCCTGTCATAGCTAGGATTCTTCCATTGGGAATCCAGGCAGAGCCAAGTCAGAGTATTGTGTGAGAGTTAGTTGGGATGAGGGTGGGATGGGTATGGGACTGAGAGTGAAATACCCTAGTGAAGTGCAGATGGACTAGTATAGGGTATATGAATATAGGTAATGAATATGTTGTTTTGCTGGTATGGGGTTGGGTGGTGGTTGACTTTGCGGTGTGAGGAAGTATTTAAGGTGAGAGTGAATTACTGCTAAATGTATCCACTTGTCTTTGTCAATCAACCACGAAATTACGGATTCTGTACCATGGTAAGTGGGACCTAGTAGAGTTTGAAGAATGGCGTTTAGGCAGTTGGAGTGTGATACTGTGGCGGCAATATCAGAGTGTTGCGGGCATCGAAGACCACCAAGAGATCCGGATCCATTAGTAGACGTCGTGAACCAAAAAATATTGAATGGTAACAACGACTTGGGCTTGGTGTGACGTGAAGACTTTATCTTCGTGTAGTTTTTGTCCGTTGAGATATCTCTGTCGAGCAGTAGCAGTTTATGTGCATGTACTGCTATTAGTGCCAGTTGTCGGCCTGGGATCTGTTGCGATTTTGTTTTTTATATTCATTTGCTTTGGCATTCATTTGGATATATGTATTGTAGGTAGGACCATGATAGGCAAGGCCCGAGAGTTGAGCATCTTGTGTCATCTGTAACCGAATATCAGGGTGAGGAATCAATGATTTTAGGGGATGGTCTGGACCTGAAGAGCGGTACACAAGGCCTCACGCTGTTCCACCAAGATATCTCAATAATTGTTTAGCAATTAGGCGGCCAGTGAAGCAGAGGAGGATTTTACGTTGAGATGGTTTGTGAGTTTGAGGAGGATTTTTTTTTGCGGCGACAAACAATTGCTGCGCATTTCAGGATCACATCATTGAGTATAGCTGTCAGGCTGGTTAGATTGTGAGAGTTTGAGCTTCACGGCAATGATGCCTCATCCATACACAATCTTGGATTGCATGAATGTTTTATATATCAATAGTTTTATATAATGATGTAGTTGGGGGCCAGCGTGAAAACCAAAGGGGCAGGCCATTTGTATTGCTTTGCTTAGCTTGTGGGCCAGAGCTTCCATGAAGGGGCCAAATTGAACTCCATGAGTGTGGAATGGGGTTCCTTTAATAGCAAAATCAGGTGGACGTCCATCATGTTTGTTAAATTCCATATTGGAATCGTCTGCCCAACTTTGGCAACAATTTAGTAGAATTCAGAGTGTACTTGTGTCATGGTGATGTAGGCATATATCGTCAGCAAGGAGAAGAGAAGTGTCTTTATAGACCTTCTCAAGTTTCCAGGCCAGTGGGTTAATGAAGACACAAAACAATAGGGACATGATTGGAGAGCCTTGTGGAAGGCCTCTGTGGCGGGGGAACGGCGCGCATAACTTGTTTTGATAGAAAACCCTGGCGCTGTGATTTTCCAGGAGATTTGCGCACATAGCGGTAATTTGGGTATGGACGCCTATATAAAGTTGTAGGAGGCGTATTACTCGCTTGTGGTTTACTCTATCATAGGCTCATTTTAAGTCCAGGAAGGCCAGATGGTTGTGCTTTGACGAGCTTTGGTTTCTAATACGATACTCTATACGCTTATTGAGTGTGATTGCATGTCCTGTGGCGGAGTATTTAAGTCCGTAGCCGGCTTGGGACCTAAAAAATTTGAAGGCTGGGTGTGTATGAAAGGCTAGGATGATTGTGAGTTCAAAAATCCGTCTGAATATCTGTGTGAGGGAGATCGGCCTGAACTCTGCAGCCTCTTGAGGTCTAGGTACTTTTGGGATGGGGATTGTAAGGAGGGCTTTCCAGGTTTTAGGATAGCTCTCTTGTTGAATTATTTGACGGAAGAGTTGGCAAAGCATTTCTATAAAAGGGGAAGTAGATTTCGGTTTCCCTCTAAGTTTTCGGTCATGGTGGTCCAGCGGGTGTGTTTCAATACAGACCTTCAAGGTATTTATGTGTATCCCATCGGGTCCAGCACCCTTACGTGAGGGATACTTCCCGATAACTTCTGTTACTCGGTCAGGATTAAATTTTTTTTTTTTGAGGTATATCGGCAGTGCTACCAGGCGATGCAAACAACTGTTTGAGATGATTTGATATGGTCTTAGGGGTTTCTTTTTGGTAGACCTGTGTCGGAATCTGTGGTGATGATGTTTGGTTGTGTCGATGAGCGCTGAAATCTACTGTAGGATGTAAAAATTGTTCCAGCGGCGAGGCGCTGGTTCGACAGTGATGGTATATTTTTTAGAGCTACTGGTGTTGGGGTGTAGGAGTTTAGAATTCTTGCTTGTGTGGCCCAGATTTTGTCCACTATGTGATTAATCATATGTGCTGTCCATGAGAATGTTTGCCACTTCATTATTAGACAGACGTGGGGGAAGGTAAGTAGCTCCCACTAAAGTGTTATAGACCTTGAAAGTTATTAAAAAGTGTGAGTGGAGATGAACTTGAATTCACTTAATTGCCAATTGTCAATTGTCAATTCTCACTCTGTTGTAGACTTGTGTGTAGTGTTGTGAGTCAGTTGTCAGTTGGGTGACTGACTGACTGTGAGTCTTAGAGTCTACAAGAGAGTCTGTGACTGAGACTCTGACAGACTGTGCACTGCGCAGTATGAATGCGTGTGAGCGATGTGACTAGCTTGCAGTCACGTTAAAAAATAAGTTAAGATGTGTATGACAGAGCCTTTAATGTACAGTTTAAATATAGCAATACAAAAAAAACCGAACCTTTTTTAAAACACAAATTTAGCCTGTGAGATTTGAGATTTGAGAGTGAGAGAGGAGAGGGTGAGCCGGTGAAGGCAGTTACGCCAGCGTGGCTTTCCGCTTTCCAAATAGATTTCAGGGAGATATCATATTGTATTTCACGTTCCAGCGGTGAAAGGTTCAAAGAAGATTTTAGATATATCCTGAAACACTATAAATAAAAGACAAAAGTATAAGTGGCATATGTTTGATTTAGAAGGCTATACAATAAGCGGTGTCAGACAAATAGGCTGGCACAGTTCAGTTCATGCTCTTTCTGTGTCTTTTGATATTCCCGAGATAGAGTATGTTATAAGTGGTGTCAGACAAATAGGCTGGCACACAGTTCACTTTATGTTCTTCCGTGTCATTTGATATTCCTGACATTTCCCGTCCCTGCTCGGGCTGCATTTCATCACTATAGACGACGTAGCTGTGACTCTGGCTCTTGTTTCCTTATCAGAATATTCTGTCAATCTAGCTTCTACAGCACTGATATACTGTATTTATATCGCCGGATAATTATCGAGAAACAATATTCGTCAGAGGCTAATCAACAGCAAACCGGCCAAATTCTACATGGTAGAGTACTATTACCTTCTTTCTTTCAGTGTATATACTTAGTCTGGGTTGAATCGACATCCGAGATTCCAGTCCCTTACCGCAACCGCGACAATTTATTTTCAATTTTCAGAAGACCCATGACTATTCCAAACGGAAATTACTTTTGTAGCATGCCCAATCCGAGGCCTGCCGGCAGCATTGTTATATCCAGTCCTGAATTCAGAAATGGGATAACAAACTTCAATACACATACGGGAAAGTACTTGGATGAGAGTTTATTGCTTTAAGACGAGTATACGCTACAGCACGGTTGTTGCATGGTCCACCTCTTGCAAACTCTGCAGGATCTGTATGTGGTCACTTCCGATTTGTTTGGCCAACTCCTTTCGCATACTTAACGACAACGAAGAGAACTTGCTCAGCAACTCACCATCCAACACATTTTTAGCCGCGTTCGACAGCTTTACCGAGTTTTCTTGTTTGATTAATCTAAATGCCTTGGGATTCAGGCCTAGATTATGGTTGAGCTGTGATGTGAGCCGTGTCTGTATCATGTTCAGCCTTCGGTATAATCTGTTAGTCAGTACACAAAGGCGGTGAGTGGTTAAGCGGATTTCAAGATAATAAAAATAAATTCAAACACGGTTTTGCGACCGATCATATATTATAAACGGTTAGGTATGGGTATGCAATCCTATCGGAACTGATAGACGGGCAGTCAGTATTAACAATGATTCTCAAGAAACGACAGAGACGAAGAATCAAGATACTTTTGAATTGCTGCATACATTAGCTCGTATATTACCTGCCCCCATCTCAGTGATGTGCACTGGTCTCTCTATAATACAACTCACTCAAGGGCGTTTAGACAGTGTACATTTCTTGGTACAGGATAAAAGAACAAATATATGCTACAAATGATCTGTAACATCAAACAAAACATGCGCAAATGTCCTCCCATCTGCATTGCATACCCCAGCATGTATGCTTGTGAAGTCCCCGGGCTCACGCCTAGAATACATGCGAGGCACAGAAGCACGGGTATAATACATTTAGCACTCGTACATTCTCTAAAAAACGAACATGTTGTAGCGTCAATCGTATCCACCAACCATCCCGTGAATGCGGAGGTCTACAGTTATATACATATACAAAACGCAAGAAAGAGATAACATAGCATACACTCTACAGATGAAAGCCAAACAGGCTTCTATCATCCAGGGCAACACAAACAATTGTGTACAGTCGTTCCACGAAATTTATATCAATTCAACAGAGCATACACATACTCAAAATATACCAATGAGGGAATACATAAATCACAACTAAAACCTCACTATATGATTCATGAATACGTATCAGAGTATATCGTTCATTCGCTTTGTACACATGTTCACCACTTAATAGCTATATATATATAACACAATTCAGTTGCATAAGTTTACAAGCAGATATTTTGCTTCAGCAGCGTGATGCATATCAGGCTGATTCATCCCATTCCCCTGTCATTTCGCATACCTAAGTGTATATGTTTGGCACAATCATTACATACATACATAAATATGTACAAACATACATGCAAAGATATATATATATAAATAAATATATATCTATCTATCTATATGATATATAT